CCTTTTTGAAGAGAGAGGTCGGGTGGGGTTTGGGTGGGTGGGTGTGGGGGTGGGTTGGGGATAGGGTGGAGAAGGTTGAGAAGGAGTTTTGGAAAATGTTTTCCCTTCTCTTGATAAGGAAAATATTTTCCTCCAATCGAAGGAAAATGAGTTGATAAGGAAAATGTTTTCCAAAATATTTAAGCCAACCAAATATGGAAAAATTGGAAAATATTTTCTGGAAAATGTTTTCCTTCATACCAAACACACCCAAGATTGATATAAGAAATCAGTGAGCGAGGGGACTTTTAAGATGGTCTAAGTCAAGTTGGACAAAATTTTCGAAAATTAATTAGGAGTTGGGTGGAATAATGTTATTGATTCATGTATGTACTAGTATTATCACCCGCGCAAATGCGCGGACACTAACCATGTAATATAGTTGAGTTATTTGGATTATATGTAAATAATCTTAAAACTTAAACTTTCTCTAATAAATATAGATAATTATTGGATATTAATTAAGAAACACTACATGAAAAAGATTAACCATTTCTCAAATTTCCTAGATGTAATTCTATTTTTCTTTATTGGACCATTCTCGCCGGTGTCATTGGATCCTAAAATTAGTCGCGAAGCAAAATAATAACTCATATTTATGATAAAANAATCAAAGGTTGAGACTATGAAGGACTCTTTGGATACGACTTGACTATTTTACTACTACTTGAACTCTTATTTTGTGTGTTGATATCTTTCAAAAATGATTTCTATATTAAAATTTCAATTTCTAAAATATTATTTTTAAATAATCATTTATTTTTATAATAATGTAAGTGAAAATAGTATCCTTAATTCAAAACTCATGTTAGTCGGCTATCTAAAAATTTAAAAAATTGTCTAGCCAGGAATTTTTTTTTTCTAATTTGACCCCATTTTGATATTTGACATCAACCATATTAAATATCCGAGTTATTTGAATGAAAATAACCTTAAAATTTAAACCTTCTAGATAATCGTTAGACATCAATTACGAAACAGTACATGAAAAAAGACTAACATTTTCTCAAATCTCATAGTGATAATTTTATTTTTGCATCATTCTCATCGGCGTCATTAGAACCTAAAAATAGCCAAAAAGTGAAATAATAACTCGTATTTATGTCAAAGCACAAAGGTTGACACAATATGAACGATTCTTTGGTTACGACATGACTCTTTCACTACGACTTGACCTATTATTTGGTATGTTGTTATCTTTCAAAAAATATTTCTATTTTGACATTCCAATTTCTAGAACTTTATATATATATATATATATATATATATATATATATATATATATATAATTATTATCTTTATAATGATGCAAGTGAAGATATTATCCTTAATTTAAAATTCACTTTAGTCGGCTATCTAAGAATTTAAATGATTCTTTAGCCGGTGAAATTTTATTTCAATATGACATCATTTTGAGTTTATCAATATTTCTAGCCACAGATTTTGAATTTTAAATACCCTATATACAGAGGTGGATATAGGATTTATACTTTATGGATTCAATTTTTAAGGTTTTGGCATTAAACTCATTATATTTTTAGAGTTATGGGTTCACATCTACTATTTTTATAATTTTAAGAATTTTTACAAATAAATTTTTGCTCAGCGTGAAAAGTTATGGGTTCAACTGAATCTGTAGTCAACACTCTACATCTGCCTCTGCCTATATATGTAACGACTCGACCGGTCGTTTTGAGCATTTGCATATCGCTCGCCAGTTTTCGGGCATGACTAGCTCCGTATGATGTATAATGACTTATGTAAATCGTCGGTTTTGGTTTTCAGGATAACCGGAATAGATTTGGAAGAACAATTCTCACTTTGAAACTTTAAATTTGGAAGGTTTGACCAAGTTTTGACTTTTTAGTAATCGATTTTGGATTTGGATTTTTGTGATTTGGTTAGCTCCGTTAGATGATTTGGGACTTAGGAGCGTGATCGGAATGTATTTTGGAGGTCCGTGGAAGATTTAGGCTTGAATTGACGAAATTGAAATTTTGGATTTTCCGGTCGGCATTGGAAATTTTGATATCGGGGTTGGAATGGAATTTCAGAAATTGGAGTAGGTCTATTGTGTCATTTTTGACGTGCGTGCAAAATTTGAAGTCAATCGGACTTGATTTGATAGGTTTCAACATCGAATATAGAAGTTGGAAGTTCATAGTTTCATTAAGCTTGAATTGGGGTGTGATTCGTCGTTTTAGCGTTGGTTGATGTGATTTGAGAGTGGGTCTAAGTTTGTAGGATGTTATGGGATGTGTTGGTAGATTTGGTTGAGGTTCCGAGGGTCTCGGATGAGTTTCGGGGTGAGTTTTGAGGGAGTTCGGACTTTTCAGCACTCGGAAGTTGTTCCGGATCGTGGGGGTACTACGGACAGCGGTAAATCATCGCCCCAGCGGTCAAAAGGACCGCTGTTAGCGATGATATTTCGCTGCAGCAGTGGGATTTCCGCTGTCAGCGGAAATCTGTCCGCCGCCGCGGTCATCAAGAATTCACAGGTTCATTGGTCCTACTTCGGAAGTTTATATCTTTCTATCTACAAGGAATTTTGAGATGACTCAAAAATGAAAGTTGTATCCCCTCGTGTCTAGTTTCTAGAAAGGTAAAGAAATCATAATTTGGACATGTGTAGAGAAAGTTATGGCTAAAATATTAAGGCATGTCTGTGCAGCCACCAAAAGCGTGGTCACCAGTGGTTTACCGCGGTCAGCGGTGATTTTCATCATTCGATTACAGATTTGGCAAAATTACATGATTATAACGTTGGATTTATCATTTGATTAGAGACTTGGGATGAAAATTTGGGAAAAATTTATGGAACTTCATAAAATGAATTCTTTGGGTTTGAAAGCCGATTCGGAGTTGGAATTGAGTGAAACTAGTATGGATAGTCTCCTAATTGAATGGGTTGTCAAATTTTGAGACTTTGGTCAGATTCCGAGACATGGGCCCGGGGGCCGGATTTGAGCAATTTCGGGATTTTTGAGTTAATTTGATTATTTTCGCTTGGACTTTGTTCCTTTAGCGTATATTGATGATAATATAGTGATTTTGGTTATATTTCGAGCATTTGGAGGCCGATTCGAGAGGCAAAGGCATCGCGGGGTACAATTTGGACCGGTTTGAGGTAAGTAATGATCGTAAATGTTGGTCTGAGGGTATGAAACCCCGGATTTCACATCGTTGTGCTACTTTGAGGTGACGCACACGCTAGATGACGAGCTTGGGGTCGTGCACTGTTGGGGATTGTGACTTGGTCCGTCCCGTACGACTATTAGGTCGGGTATTTGATTGAAAACTGTTTGATATCATTGTGTTTTGGGAAGTATTACTATGTTTTGGGCTGAATGCCATATTTGGGCTTAGTGCCAACTAGGGGTGGCAAAATGGTTGAAAGAAAACAGTTAACCACCCATATTATCCACTAAAAAATGGGTAGGATAATGAACTTTTTAAAAACGGGTCAAATATGGATAAGAACCATATTATCCATTTATAAAATGGATAACCAATGAGTAACCAAGGATAACCAATGGGTCTAACTTTTACATTTGTAAAGCCTCAAATTGGGGGTTCCTCAAGTTAGAGATACT